ATTGAACATTTGTTCGGGAGGTATCCGAATTTTCCATCCGATTGCCTTCAAATTTGGTATGGGTTAGTTTTTTCATGAAAGAATTACATTCTAATACCTAAATTGCAGTTATTTCTGCAAAGATTATAGCTGCCGATCAAATTTTGCTATTTTCCACTGATTTCTTAGTTATAGTGAGTTCAAACATGTCTGTGCTATATCTCAGGAACGACCCAAACGATTTTTCATGTAGAGAAATTGCATTTGGAGTTGTTTACAACTATGAATTTACCAATCTGCGTAAAACATATATTTTCAATATCGCATAAGGCAGATATCGCTCCAATTTTTCTGCTTGCTTTGCCACATTATCCGATACTGGGGACACTTGCTGTTACCTCACTGTTTATTCAATGCCACTTGTGTTTGCTTCGTTATATGTGTAAACTGTAAAGAGTAACGGCTAATCAGTATCGGATTCTTTATCTTGTTTTTTTTCGGAGTTGTGGCTTTTTCGAAATTTTGGCCCATTCGGAATTTTTGATTTTCGGAGTTTTGACTTTCTTAGTTTTTGTTTTCGGATTCATGGATAGACGCCGGTGGTCGTAGAAGACTTTTTTGTAGCCCCATCGATTATCTATCCAACCATGCATATAGTTTTGAAAGTTTATACCACACTTCTCATAGTGAAAAATGTCAAAAAAGTTCTATAGTCAATTTTTCGCAAAATACATGTCAGGTCACCCTAATTTTTCATCAGGTGGGAAAGGTCACCCTAGTTTTTTGGCTTTGCAAGTTTCTGACTATACCTAGTTTATACACCAAGTTTGAGCGAAATCGGAGAGGTGAAATCAGAATTTTGACCCGCTTAGTGTGGAATCGTCGTATATAAAACTGAAAGTTCGTCTGTCTGTCCTATTTTTTTTATTTTCTTCATTTTTTAATTTTTGGTTTTGTTAATGCTCATTTTGGTTAGAATTCTCGCGGCTTAAATAACAGATTCACATATCAATTTCGATTTTCGAATTGAATTTTCAGAAGTTGAAAAGACTAAGAAGTTGTGTTTACGTGAATGGCTGGATAAACAACAACTCAATCCCCTGGAACGTGATGCACTGTATGATTTGACCGAAGTGTGTATCAATCAATCATACTTCCAATTTCGAGGCGAATATTATAAACAAACAGACGGTTTAGCCATGGGCCTCAGTTTGAGCCCATTCCTATGCAATTTGTTTATGATAACGGTCGAAGAGCGACTAAAACAACACTCGCTTTTCCCACGATTTTATCACCGCTATGTCGACGATTGTATTGCTGTTGTAGAGGAGAATAAAATCGAAGAAACCTTGAAATGGTTCAATTCAATATGCTACGAAATCCAATTCACATGTGAAGTCGAACAGCACAACACATTGCCGTTTTTGGATTTGTCAATTCAACGCACAAATGATGGAAACATCGAATTTGATATTTATCGGAAAGTCACAGCTACTGACCGATTTATACCGATTGAATCAAATCACCATCCGTCGCATAAGATCTCTGCGTTCAACTCAATGATTCATCGGCTTGTCAACACACCACTTTCTGTTGAAAAATTCGCCATCGAGAAGCAAAAAATACTTCAAATTGGTGTTATAAACGGAGTGAGTGCAACGACCATCGATTCGATCATCAAAAAATACCAGCGGCAAAAATTACGCAGCGATTGCACCGTACTTCGTGATGAAAAAGAAACGACTTGGTGTGGAATGACGTATGACGCACACACATTCAACTCGCTTTCAAAGTCGCTACACAAGGGCAACATCACGCTAGCATCGAGGAGCACCACCAAACTTAAATCGCTGCTAAACACAAACAAAGACCTACGAAACAACATTGATAAACCCGGTGTGTATAAAGCAACATGCTCAGTCTGTGGCGCTGTGTATATCGGCCAAACCCGTCGCTCTCTCAAAGTGCGTATGAGAGAGCACAAAAAAGACATCAAAAATTGTGAACCGTACAAAAGTGGCCTAGCGGAACACATTTTAGCCGAAAAACACCGCATCAACGATGACGATTTCATTTTGATCGAATGTGAATCGAACCAAAATCGATTGAATATTCTCGAATCGTTTCACATTTATCAAAAAAAAAATAACAATGTAAACAGAGATGTCGGCCAACACTTCTCAACTCTCTTCTCTGCCTATAAACATTGACAAATTGTACATAAAATTGTATTGATCTCTATCCCTATGTTAATTGATTTAAATGTATTGTTTACGTCACACTGTTCTCATTTGTGTGCTACTGTCGTTTTAAAACACTCACCTATGTGTATGTAAATCAAACACTTTCTTATTTTCTTTTGTGCTCGTTCCAGCTGTTCCTACTCGAACGATGCACCAATTTTCGTTTACATGAATTTTTACATTTTAGTTGTACTTGAAATTGCGACTGATGATGATAGCTTGAGCTATCGAAACAATTGTATCGCCGATCGATATAATCATTAAAGTGACAAAAAGGTTAAAAATTTAAACAAAAACTTTGTTGGAAAATTAATAACAAATGAAATACAGTAGACTCTCGGAAAAAGCAACCGCATTTGAACAACCTCAAGACTATTTTACAAGGGAGGCGAAAAAAGTAGAAAAAATAGAATAAATAGAAAAAATCGACAAATTTCGACGAAAAACCTTTTTGTGCCCTATCGATGTTTTTCGGAAAAAAACCAAAAATTCCATAAAATTTAAAATTACTGCGACTTTAGGTTCAAATTTTCATTATTCGCCCTGATTCATTTCATCCACCCAGAAGAACCCATGAAAAATGCGGAAAACGATTTTTTTTAAAGCTGCAGCTTTAAATTAAAGCTGGAGCACTTGGAATGGGCATTAGTGAATGAAACTGAACCAAATTGATTTCATCGATAATGTCTTGCAAAACAATGCCATGGAAAAATATTTTTCAAACTAAATACAACTTTATATTTCCAACGAATACGAAATATATTATTGAGTCTTCGGAAACTTCATTTGAAGTATCATGAGATTTCTGTCAAATTGATACTAACTGCTATAAGACCATCCGTCAACCGGGGTTCTTTTATTTCGGTAGTAAACTTTGAAAGGGGTTAGACACGTGAAATTGGATTCTTGTTTTACTTCGATGTTTCTCAATGTTATTGTTGTTCTTCTCGTCGTCCGCTTTGTGTGGACCAAAATTCACGCTTTGTTAGTGGGATTCGTGGATTATTGGAATAGTGGGATTAGTATTTTAAGTGTTTGGATTCTTAGTTTATAGTTGGTGTCGCCCCCTCGAAACTTCGTATGTAAATTGTATTGGAACTGCAACGCAACGCAACGCATCGGTGTTGCAATTATTCGAATAATTTATAGAAAAAATTATGTAGTAATGTAATGAATTACTATAAAAATCATGGGAAATGCGACGTTTATTCTGTGCGAGTACAATAAGCGCTTACGTACAATACTGTTCATTGAACAGTGTTCAATATATCATTTTCAGTTAAGCAAATCATTTCCCCTATCATTTTTGTCCAGAATCCCAGAAATTAGAAAACCCTGCAAATTAGAAATGGTTTCGGGACATTTTATTTCTAATTTGCGGGGGAGGGCTGTATTTTATTTTTAATAACAGACTGATAGATGTGTTAATTGACACTTGGGGTAAAAAGTGATACAGGTAAAATGAATTCATCGTCCGGTGATTGTGCCCTATAAGATGTGTATACAGGAATGCTGTTCCATAGCAGCGCCGTACATTGTTTGCTGTGTTCTGCCTTGTTTGTGTTTGCTCTACTATTCTTCAGATGACACAATACAATCATACAGTGCACACGTACACCATAGTTCCGACACTTTGCTGTCGTTTGAAGTTTTGGCGTTAGTAATGCAATATCATTCTGACAAACACCGGACGGAATTCATCGAATGAACGTTCATTTGATAGTTCACATTTGGTATATAAACAGATATAAGTACCCGTGTGGAAATTTTTCGATTAATTTGGGACATTTTGACTGACTAAAAGTGATTGTCTCGAACAAAATAAGCAATTGCAGTTTACTTTAATCACAAATCACTTTTAGTCAAAATGTCCCAAATTAGTCGACTGACTGAAAGAATAACTAAACGTGATTGTCTCCATACAAAACGCATGATTTCAATCAACTTAGCCAGTTTTAGTTGTGCATCACTACATACAGTTACATACAACTGAGTGAATGTTAGTCATTTTATTTGCACACGGTTAGCTATATGAAAACACCAACATGTAGCATACAAGCAACTCTTGGTGAATAGTCAGATACCTTATGAAAAAAAAATTGGTAAATGTTCCAAGATGAATTTGTAAATTCAAAGCTACCAACGGCGACTTCTAAATAAGACGTCAAACTTCTGCTCAATTTACAACTTCTTTGATGAATTGAACGACGTCTTTTGCAGTCATTGAGACCGCTATTACAATGTTTCATGCTTCAGTTAGTCTTTCATATTTTCATGTTCAAGTCTAGGCTAAATTGTATCGATGAAATATTCAGCCAGTATTTGCGGTGTAAATAAATTACTAAATTATCAAGACTATAAGAGCCATATAAAGCGGTGGACTTTTAGGCAGGCTACTTATTGCGATGTTGGTTTTGACATTAGACCAATGGTTTCAAACATATACAAGAGTAGTCGATACTATATGAAAAACACATGAGATTGATTAGTTAGAGTTAACCAACTTGAATCACCAACTCCAATTGATGCGTTGGTATTGGTATCGTCCGCAGTTAAAATGATATTTTGGCGCTTTGTGCAAATGTTTGACATTTGAAATGTTATAATAACAGTCTGCTCTTGCACCACCAATTTCCCCTAATGTATTCTAGCTGTCAATTTGATTTGTGTATGGTATATATATATATATATATATAGAATTATATAAATTGAAAGAAGAACCACTCACACAATGAAGTAAGCACATGCTCATGCTCATGCTTGTAGGTAGGTTGGTTATTTGTATACATGTAACTCAAAGGAAAAGCAATGAATAAAAATTATATACATGATACACGAATAGAACGTGAATTCAATAGAAAAGTGAAATAGAAAAATCGATTGAAATGAGCTGTATTAATAATTTTTCATAATATTCTGTTCCATAACATTTTCAGCTATTGTTGTGGTTTAATTTGAATTCAATCAAAGAAATTGATAAATACGTACCATGTTTTAGACTACCTCAATAGAGATTTGGCATAAATTTTGAGTTGCATAATTTTGAATACAAAGATTAGTTTAAATATATGCAAAATTTGAATTATTTGAAAATTGTTCAGTTGTTGCTGGAAAACTTTTGCTCGTGAAAAAACAACTCGGAAAATTAAATATTGCGAATGAATCACAGTGACAGAGTTTGAAAAATAAAACCAACTACTAGAAAAACATTACACAATCGAATAGATGAAAGGTTTTATTAAAAAATAAAAGAAAAAAATTTATGGGAATTTTCGGACAAAAGAAAATATGGTTTTGAGTACGGAATGGTCTCAAGTCGAAATTATTGATCTGATAAATGATGGAAATGGCCTCGGCTTCATATTGGTCGGCGGTAAAAGCACTGGCGTTGTAATTAAAGCTCTTATACCTGGCGGGGTGAGTGAGCGTGATGGACGATTACAATGCGGTGATCACGTTCTCCAAATAGGTAATGTCAACCTTCGTGGATTTAGTTCAGAGCAAGTAGCAACTGTACTACGTCAAACTGCACCTAATTGCCCAGTTCGAATTATTGTTGCAAGACCAGTGGAGGCAACATCATCCGAATACCGATCATTGGCCACACATGCGCCGATTATCCCAACTAAAATGTTATCAGACCCAGAGGAATTGGAACGCCAATTAATTCAAACATCTATTCCATTCACAAATGATTTCATTGTTGATGTAGATCAACTCATTTCTCCCCACGTAAGGTCCAACTGAATTCAAATACCTTATTTTTTATAATAACGTAAGATATTGCTGTTTGATTTTTATTCATCAGATTGAAGTGGTTACTCTGCATGATGGATTAACTTCACAACACAATAGTTTTGAGTTGATTTCACCATGTTCAGCAAATGAACCCATCATAGAAAACTTCCCCGAAACGGAAACCTATGAAGTGGAACTGCGAAAGAATGTGTACGGTTTGGGGATAACCGTGGCCGGATACGTATGCGAAGAAGAGGATTTATCTGGTATATTTGTAAAAAGTATAATTGAAGGTAGCGCAGCAGAAATGAGTGGTAAAATCCAAATTAATGATCGTATTGTTGCCGTCGATGGAAAAACATTAGCTGGGGTAACAAATCATGGATTTTAAATTATAATTTATAATCATGAATAAATATATCTACTACTAACCCAAGGTAACAAATCATCAAGCCGTTGAAATTCTTCGGAATACTGACATAGCTGTTCGATTGACACTAGAGCGGTTTCTACGTGGACGTAAATTTGAACATCTACAAGTGGCTTTGACTGAAACCAAAGAAAGCAGACCTTTATCATTACCACCTTCGCCATCCATTACTACATTGACATGGGTAAGCATTTTTAAGTAGTTACGCAAAGGCGTAAAATTTCCAAATAAAATTCAGATTTTTTAAACTAATTCAATTGTTTCTACTGCGGAGTGAGCCGCTACTCTATTGATGTTATATAGAGTGAAATCGATAAATTCAACAAAAACCACACAGAAAAAACAACAATAACACATACAATTTTGATAAACCGAACACAGTGACCGATATTTCGACGATTACGTCTCATCAGCGCAGCTCGAAAGAATTCAAACCATCTGCGTATCGAGTCACTTACAAACTGAACAAAATTCAGTAATAAATCAAACGATTCGGTTTGACAACAAAAGTCCAGTTGACTAGATCGTTGTGTTTCTGCGTTGTTTTTTCTGTGTGGTTTTTGTTGAATTTATCGATTGCATTCTTTATAATGTAAAATTTCTTTTTGCATCGGGGCGCAAATTGGTCTCGCTGAGGCATTGGTACCCACCATTCAAGAATATTGTTAATGTGTTTAACTGAATTGAATGAAATGACAAAAAAATGTAAGAAGAAATGGTGAAATGTTATTAATGCTCATACGTAAAAACCATGTTGATATAAAATATGATAAACTAAATATAACAGAATAAATAGAATACGTCAAAATGATACTAATTTCAACGAAATCCAAATAGGACGAAAAATACAGAAAATTCATGAATTATTTGAGAATTAAGCCTCAAAATGAACCAATATCACGATTACATGATGAAATATTACATCTAAAATAAATGAAATGCCTAAACAAAATAATGAAACTTATATATATAGAGTTGTAGAATGTGTAGCACACATGTACCATTTCCGAAATTTTGTCGTCAAAAAATGCACGCGCCATATATATGTTATTATTCATATTATATGAATCATATATAGTACTCGACCTTAGCTTTCAGAATATAATACCTTCCAATTTGTTGCTCCACCAAAACAACACAAAAGTCGAAATTCCGTTATGATGGGAATATGCTGGCGATAGGGCTCAAAACACACTTTTACCCTTTTGCGGCACACCGTTCTCGATTACACATTTATTATTATTATTTTATTGACACCGCCAAAGTCTGGCTGATTATTTCAGTTTTTGTAGGAAAATGGCTCCAAGAGCCATGAAAAACCTGATGTTTTCGTGTTTACACATTTAGGTTGCCAAACATGTGGCAAATAACAACACATTTAATGTTGGTTCCATATGTCATGGTGTTGGTACAATTTTGGAGATGGGTCGAGTGATCCGAATAGCCTCCTGATCCGAATAGCTCCCCTTCCCCCTATGTCCGTAGTTTTTGTTCGATTTTCATCAAAGTTGAAGGAATTGAAGAGCATAAAAAAATTGGACTTTCTTGTTCCTGGTTATTTTGATTTGACAGCCATTTTGGCCACAAAAAATCTATCCATTGAAGGTGCCATTCGTTTTTTAGTCTCGAATAAATCACAGCTAAGCATGATGGGGCATTACCATACCATAAAAGATATTTTCAGTTGTAGATAGATATCATAGGCTTAACGCTCAAGTTTGGAAGCAATCTGTGTAACAATATGGATTTTTTCTAAATTATTGGTCCAATGGACCGAAGGAGGGGTTCTGACCGCAGTCCCCTGCGGGGGTTAAACTTGATATCACAAGTTTATCGTTCGCTTTCGGCACGAGAATTGATATTACTTATATTTTTTCCATGTAATACAAATAACTGAGCAGTAATTACTTTTCCGCACACGAAGTGTGTGAGAAAAGTATAGCGATCGACGTGATAAAAAGTGTGCTAATTTTTGTTGTGTCCACGATAACTTTCGAACCGCTCAAGCGATTTCGCTCAAATTTGGCCAGGAGTCACAATTAGTAAATATCTTGGATGTATCAAAAGTTGGGCCAAATTTGACCAGTTCATCTGGTACTTTTGGGACATCATAAAAAATCACCCAAGGGTCCCCCCTTGGATTATGTCGAAAAAAATGTCTTTTTTAATCAACCTAGAGTGGATTGTTGTATCGTTCTCACATAGTTTTATAATATTAGGCAGTGTTAAATGGTTTATAACACGATGACCGACCATGATGGCCCAAAAACTACGATTTTTGGTTGTGTCCACGATAACTTTTGAACCGCTTAAACGATTTCGCTCAAATTTGCCCAGGAGTCACTATTAGTAAATACCTTGGATGTATCAAAAGTTGGGCCAAATTGGACTAGTTCATCTGGTAATTTTCGGATGTCATAGAATTTCACCCAAGGGGGGACCCTTGGATATTTTTGAATTTTTTTTTTCTTGTTATCATAGAACGGATTTTTGATTTGTTTTAACACGATTTTATCATGTTAATCCGTGTTAAATGATTTATAACACGATGGTCGACCATGATTGACTTTTTTTAAATTTTTTTTTGAATACTTGTGCGGAAAAGTCCGTTTTACGCTCGTAAAACTTTTTATTTTATTTCTAGGTGCCGCCAAAATCAGATGCCGATTCAATTGTTACTGAGGACTGTGACGATTGTCAAATCGATAATGAACAAGAATCATGTACAACATTTGATTCGAATATTTTTGCAAATGATTTGAACAATGATGAAGAAATGGATGCGAATAGCATGTCGTTAAGTTCAAAAGATGTTACGCCTGTACTATCACCACAAATAGAAAAAAGTAAACTGGACTTATGGGAAATTGAATATCCAGAAAGTGAAATCATTGTTACGGAAATAAATAAATTGGCAGGTCTTGGTATAAGTATTGAGGGAACCGTTGAAGTGGAGGGTGGTGTAGAAAAAAGACCACACCACTTCATCCGGTCGATTTTAAGTGATAGCCCAGTGGCAAAAGATGGAAAATTAAGACCAGGAGATGAACTTTTGCAAGTAAATGAATATAAATTAACAAATTTAAAGCACACCGACGTAGTAAAGATATTAAAAGAACTTCCCAACAATGTTCGAGTTGTATGTGCTCGAGGGCATCCACCTTCGATTATCAACACGTCGCAGAATTTTGAAGCATTCGAAAGTCGCAGCATAATTCCCAGTGGTCATTTGATATTGCAAGGTCTTTTAAAGGCTCAATCCGAAAGTTCTTTGTTCACATCGAGCACGAACACAAATACAAATACAAATACAAATACAAACACAATTACAGATCAACTTCGCTCAAAGTCAATGGAACAGGTGGGTAATAAGATACCAAAATTTATGAAAATTATTAATTTCAAAATTTATTTTTTATATACAGATATTGGGTTAATAGATAATTTTTATATTTAGATTTCGGGTGTAGCTTTATGGAGCAGTGAAGCGGTTTTCATTGATATAGAAAAAACAGACCGAGGATTTGGTTTCTCAATACTTGATTATCAAGATCCATTAGGTAGGCCATCCGTTTGTATACATGTACTCACTGAAAAGGCAATTAGTACGATTGACATACATCAATGGTAATTTATCAAATTACCACCATTACTATTGGCGAAAGTAGTAATATTGTATGTATTGTATCAGCTCTGCTGTGCAATATTACTACGTATTGGTTGGAAAACTCTCGGAAAAGCGCTACTGTGGGAAATCGGGAAATCAGGGAAAATTCAGACCAGTCTCAATCGATCAGGCGGAAAATTTCATGTGAGGTAGCGATTTTCAAGCGAAAAAACCATCCATTTCTGAGATAAATGAAAAAAATCGGAAATATCGGCTAGTTTTTTCCATTTATCCCAGAAACGGATGTTTCTTTCGCTTGAAAATCGCCCTTCGGGTCGCTACCTCACATGAAATTTTCCGCCTGATCGATTGAGACTGGTCTGAATTTTCCCCGATTTCCCACAGTAGCGCTTTTCCGAGAGTTTTCCAACCAATACATAGTAATATTGCACAGCAGAGCAGATACAATACATACAATATTACTACATTCGCCAATAGTAATGGTGGTATTTTGATAAATTACCATCGGTGTATGTCAATCGTACTAATTCCGTTCTCTGTGAGTAGCTGATAGAAAAAGCAACGAAAGTTATACTATACAATACATGACCAAGAAGGGGCAAATCACTATAAAAATTACTTTTACCTATTGCTTTTTGCAAATTGGAGATAGGCCAAATCCGTATTTTATTAAATCTGTTATTAAATTATTATTTGAATAAAAAAATTGATTTTGTTATTTTAATAAAATACCGTTCAATAATATTAAATTAATAATTTGGTCCCATCTCTACTGCTCAAAGATATATTCCTCTAAAGTAATTTACTGGAATTTGTTGGAAAAAATTAATTGGAGTTGTTTTGAATTATTATTAATTACTTTTTCAAAACTTTTATCTTTTAGACGGAATTTTTTTACAAGACTTCTTTTGACGATAGTTGTTTGCAGAATTTTTTTTCTAAATCACAAATTTTCAAGTTTGCTCATATATTCCGAATAGCTGAGCAAAATAAAGTAATCTAGATTTAAGAAAAAATATTATTCGTAATTCATTTCACTATTTCAATTCAAACCATCAAGATGTATGGACAGGATGAAAAAAACATAAAAACAATATAGTTTTTCTAACCTCGGATTTAAGGATTGGAATAATGGGAACAATAAGAATATATATAAAACTGATTTTCCGTCTGTCTGTCCTGATTTTTTTTATTTTCTTGATTTTTTCATTCTTGGTTTTGTTAATGATAATGAATAAGCCGTTTGAATTCTCGCCCCTTAACCCTCTAATGGGCAAGAGAGTAAAAATATTCAGATCGGGCTGAAAAAAAATTCACGAGTAAATATAGGCGAAAAAACCTTAAATTCAAATTTTCAGGTAAAAATATTGTCTAGAACGATCCATAGGTGAGAAAAGGTGAAGACCGTCTCTGGACGGCCTTGCCGGTTTGCGTGTAAAAAAATCCCCTACTATTTAAACTTATTTTATGTGAAAATAGGCTAATTTGTATGGTAGGTACCCTCAAATCGAGTCTCACTTGGCCCAAACTTTCAGAATCCTATTTTATCACTAGTAAATGAGATCCCAGAAAGTTTGAACCAAGTTGAACCCAAAGGGCTTGCGACGCCTGAAATGCGGCAATATTTTCATATATTTCTATATTTCAGTCATATTCCGTCATATTTCAAATATTTGGAATATTTGATATATTTAAGGCATATTTAAGCCACATTTTGAAGTTTTTTTGTATTACCCGATATTATTTCGACTATATCTATATGAAATATTTCTCTCAATTTTCAAATATATGAAATATTTGAAATATAGCCAAATATGTCAAACATACGAAATATCAAGATGCATTTTGTAAACAAATAATGCTTCAATATTTGAAATATTTGACATATATATTTGAAGATATTTCATATATATTTGTTCGTCGCAAGCCCTTCGGTTGAACCCGATTTAGGGGTACCTCCCATTCAAATTAGCCTATTTTCACAGAAAAAACGATGAAATAGTATGGGATTTTTTTACACTCAAACTGGCAAGACCGTCCAGAGACGATCTTCGGTTTTTCGTATTTAAAACAAACTTCGAATTATTTTTTCACTATAATAGTATTGTTTTTTTTTACTTCAAACTATAGTTTGGACTAATAAATAGTGAGTAATAAGATACTTACTACTTATTACTAGTAACTTCTAATAAGTAGTAACAATATGCAATCTTATTACTCTAGTAATATATCTAGTGAGTATAGTTATTAGAATGTTATTGGTCAAAAGAGTAGGTACAATTGGGGTGGATCGATTTTTAAAATCGTACAAATTCAAAAACGGCGGGTGCGCGATCGATTTGACCTCAAAAGAAGAAACTTTTGTTCTAGGACATATGCCGAAAAGAGGATTCCCACAGTCCCCACTCAATTTTTGTGTGGTTCATTTTTTGATGATTTTTCCAGACTATTTGTTAAATATCTCAAAAAATTAGCTCCGTGACGCTAGCCCCCCCCTCCGGTTCCAAAATTTAAATCCGAGCATGGCTTCGTGTTCTACGTAATTTCTGCTGATTACTGCTCGCTCCGCAGAATATGTGCTGCAACCGGTGACGAGCAGTAATTGCCCAAAGTTTCGAAAAAATCCATAAAAATCGATTTTTCGCATATTTGAAGGTTTTGCCCCAAAAATTAATTCCAAACTAAATTTTCAACATTTGATTAATCTGAGGGCTGATATTAAAAGGAGGCCCTTTAATTCCTGCCCACTCCCCACAATTTCTGCTTTAACCGGTGACGAGCAGTAATTGTCCAAAGTTTCGAAAAAATCCATGAAAATCGATTTTTTGCATATTCGAAGGTTTCACGCCAACAGTCAATTCCAAATGAAGTTTTCAATATTTTGATGACCGGGTGGCTGATATTGAAAGGTCTAGATGCCCACTAATTTCTGCTTGCTTCTCAGATTTCCTGCTTCAACCAGTGACGAGCAGGAATTTGACAAAAATTGGAAAAAAAA